AGCCTAAACAAGACAGACCAACCCCGACCACCCATTCTTCTAAATACCTTTTGAAATCCTTCTATAAAAGAAATAAAACTTTTGCTCATTTATCAATAAAATTCCCTTTCATTTCCTTTCTCTTGACCAAATATTATGGAAATGCCTCTTTATTGATAAATCATAAATATGCGCAAAGACTTTTTCTTAGGTAAAAACTAGGGTAGCCTCGCTAGATCGGAAGCCCCCTAAGATATTCTAGGCAAAAATTAAGGCAGCCCGCTAGATTGAAAACCCGTAAAGGGCGATCTAGGCAAAAGATAGGGCTAAAAACAAGAGATGGATAAAAAGAGAAGCCCATCATCATGATCATAGATAGGAGCCCATCGGCGTATTCATGAGAAGCCAACAGGAGAAGGCCAGTTACTTTCTAAATGCATCAAAAATAAATAAACATTAGATTGCATTTAGGACATCCACACACAAAATAGTTGCATAATACGACTTTGTCAAAATTAAGAAAAAATAATTTTCTTCAAACAAGAATATTAAACATGCATATAAGGAGGCTAGTCTCCATACTCGTGATTGAAAACAGGAGGCACCAGAATCTAGTCTCCATATGAAAATCAAAATCGCAAAAGACAAAACCAAAAACCATTTCAGCAGAATAAGGAGCTTCAAAGAGACTAGCTCCAACCATCTACAACAATAAAAGAAGGTACATCAAAAACGGAAAAGAGCCAACGGAAAGACTTGATAATCCCCAAGCGGATCCTTGCCTACTCCGAAGGCAACACAAAAATTATTTCATGACTCAGCACCACCACATGAGTCATCAAGCATAAATCACTTGGAGCTGTAATCAGCATCTTTCCATCTAGAAAATTCATCAAGAAAAGCCAACGGAAAGGCTTGATAATCCCCAAGAGGATCCTTGCCTACTCCGGAGGCAAAACAAAAAGAATACCTCGCGACTCATCTTCGTCACCACATGAGTCATCAAGCACACTCATATAAGGATCTCCACTTCATTCCCCAACTGGAGAATAAGGGTTACACAAGAGCCCATCATACGAAGTCAAGCCCTTTACATCACCGGGGCAACAAAAAGAAAAGAAAGAAAATTTTTCATCCCCAAGCAAGCCTACCAAGCAAAAGGCAAAATACAAAATTCATATCCTCAGAGAGTTAATCATCCGGAACACCCAATATGAATATCCCCAGCGAAGTACAAAACCTTCACTCCCAAGAATGCCTATGCTTACTCGGAAACAAGCAAAGAGCCGATATCCCCAAGAAACGGGAAATCAACCTATAAGAGGTAATACAAGCAAAGCTTTCAAGAAACATCTACCTACTCAAAGGTATTATCAAGAACAAATATTCTCAAATAGAACATCAGCCTATTCGAGGCGAACAACAAGTAAAAAGCCTTCACCACTATCGAAGCACCCGCCTAATCAAGAGGCACAATCAAAAATCAACAAATCCCCAGTGGATTCCCGCCTAATCAAGAGGCACAACAAAATTCCCAAGTGGATCTTCGCCTAATCAAGAGGCACAATCAATAAGAGAATTCAAAATCCCCAAAGGATTCCCGCCTAAAAGAGGCAATCGACGGAATCCCGGCCAATACCGGATGGTTAACAAGAAAAGCCAAAATACGAGCAATCCCTGGTAAAACCAGATGACTAAAACAGAAAAGTCAAAAAGAAAAATCAATTACTCCCGCGAGGCGCATGATCGGAGACAATAAGCCGCCAACACATATCCAAAAACCGGGTGAGGGTTTGTACTCATCAAAAGATTGACCGCCAAAAAGAGAATCCTAAGAGCCTTGCAAAACGAGGCTCGTCAGAGAGTTTAGCAAACGCGAACTCAAACATAGTGGGGGAAAGTACCCACAAAAATCTAGCAAATACAGACTCAAACCGGGTGGGGGTTTGTACTCACAAGAGCCTTACAAAAGAAGGTTCGAATCAGATGAGGGTTCATTCTCATCAAACCAGATAGGGGTTGGTACCTATCAAAACTATTCATCATCCGAAGGATCGGCTACCTCTCCAAAGGAGCATCCTGCAAAACGAAGGATCGGCTACCTCTCCAAAGGAGCATCCTGCAGACCGAAGGATCGGCTACCTCTCCAAAGGAGCATCCTGCAAACCGAAGGATCGGCTACCTCTCCAAAGGAGCATCCTGCACACCGAAGGATCGGCTACCTCTCCAAAGGAGCATCCTGCACACCGAAGGATCGGCTACCTCACCAAAGGAGCATCCTGCACACCGAAGGATCGGTTACCTCACCGAAGGAGCATCCTGTACACCGAAGGATCGGCCACCACATCGAAGGAACATCCCAAAACTACAAAATTCATACTCATCAACCACAGGATCAACTACTGCATCGAAGGAGCATCCTGAGGTTCACATTCATTATCCGAGGGGTCAGCTACCGCATCAAAGGAGCACCCTAAGGGAAAAATCTTCATTCACTAGCCAAAGGGTCAGCTACCATCCTGAAGCTTCACACATATCGACTGAAGGATCAGCCTCCCTAGCAAGGAAGCATCCTGAAGACAACAACACAAAATATTTATCATCCGAAGGATCAGCAAAGAGCAACATCCGAAGGATGACCGGGCAAAAGGGTTAACTCCTTCCCCTACCAACTAATTTTGTCGACATATCCAGCCGACAAATTAGCTAGGCAGGTGAAGGGGGGGCAGCTGTAGACCCCTAATTTTGCCCGGCCTCTCAAAATAAAAGCTAGGGAAACTTCATACAGTTCACCCGGCTTCATATCAAAGAAAAACCGAGGAAACCTCCCGCAACAAACACAGAGATTGCGCGTCTGCACGATAAAAGACAAAGGAGACTTCTTATACAAAGACAAAGCTCGCTCGGCATCTTAATGAAGGCCAAGAAGACTTCCTATATGAAGATAAAGCTTCAACGGACGTTTATCGGCATCAAACGACGTCCAAATACACAAAGGAAAGCTTCCCGGGGTCCCAGAACACGAAAGCTGGCCAAAACAGGTCGAGACGGCCGTCCCAAAGTCGAGACGGCCGTCCCAACCTTTCCTGGCCATTTGGGACGGCCGTCCCAAATGGGACTGCCAGTCCCGGATCCCCAGGTGGTCCCAGTCAGTGCAAAAGTGGCATTTGGGACGGCCATCCCAGTCCAGACGGCCGTCCCGGGTCCCCAGGTGGTCCCAGTCAGTGCAAAAGTGGCATTTGGGACGGCCATCCCAGTCCAGACGGCCGTCCCGGGTTCCCAGGGGGTCCCAGCCTGTGTAAATTTGCCATTTGGGACGGCCATCCCAGTCCAGACGGCCGTCCCACCCAGACGGCCGTCCCAAAGTGCGCCAGCTACGAAAAACTATAAATAGGAGGCTCATTTGCCACTTTTTCACACCCCAGACATCCCAGAGAGCTCTGAAACACTTTCTAAAACTCAGAGCACTTGTCTACTTCTCTCCCTTTCTTGAATGATCTTTCCGATTGCCTTAAATAGGTAACAATCGGTTAAGGAATTATATTCCGGCATTTGATTCTTCTTTAAATTTTTAGTGGAGTCGATCTTGTATTGGTGAGGAGAGTCTGTGTAGAGAGAGGGGTTGCCAAAACGCATCCTCACAGCTTGGAGATTCTCAATACAAAGCTTGCTACGGAGGTTCTTTTCAATTCTCTTCTCTTTTATTGCTTTATTTATTGTTTTATTTAGCTTTATTTACTATTTATGCCATGTAGAGTAAAATCATGTAGATAGCTATTTTAATATCTCTTTTATTGCTTTATTTAGCTTTATTCATCATTTTATGCATGTAACATAGAATAAAATCATGTAGATAGCCATTTAATATTATGTAATAAAATAGGGTAATCGCGTAATTTCTCGTAATCTTTATTTAAATGAATTAATCTGTCATAGGGAACCCGAAAGGGGCGTTGTGGGGTGCTAACACCTTCCCCACACGTAACTAACTCCCTTACCCAACTCTGGTTATAATGGCCAAGTTTGGTTTTTTATTAAAATCAATGCCTTTTTATCCTTTTCCAATGTTTATGGTCAAAACATTGGTGGCGACTCCATAAGAACCCCTTTTTGAAAACCTTTTAAAACAAATACGCGAGTCTAAACCATCTTTTCGCGACCGCTCGCATAAACGTTTCGAGACGTCCCCCGGACGTCGGATGGGACGGCGGCGACAGCACCCTCAGAAAATTTGTTTCCAGCCATGGATCGAAGAACTTGAATAACTCTCAAGAACCTCGCTCTGATGCCAATTGTTAGAAAAGTAGTTTTAGATCAAGAGGGGGGGTGAATTGATCTTTGAAAGTTTTTCACAAATAACAGATTATCTAATTCAAAAATTAAGTTTACAGATCTATTCTTGAATCTCAAAGCAATCAATCAAAATAATACAACAACAGAATTTAAAGGAGAGAAAGGTTAAGAAAGATATCACCGGTATTTTATACTGGTTCACCCAATACCAGGGCTACGTCTAGTCTCCAGCCAAATTCCAGCTGGGTTCCACTAGATTAAATATTTTACAGATTCAACAATCTTACACCTAATCTATCACAAGAACCAAATTCCAGTTCCTGCACTCAACCTCTCACCAAGACCAAATTCCAGTTCTTGATAACCTCTACAACCAAATTCCAGCTACAGAGAAACCAGTGCCCAAATTCCAGGCACCAACACCTAACCTTTCACCAAGAACCAAATTTCAGTTCTTGATAACCTCTACAACCAACTTCCAGCTGCAGAGAAACTAGTACCCAAATTCCAGGCACCACACAGTACAAAAGAATGAAAAAAATTGAAAAAGAAGAAACTAGAAAGCTCAAACCAGTTTATGCTATTCTGCAGTGAGTTTCTTCTTTAAAGAAAAGCAATATGCCTCAAGAAAGATTTTTAAAGAACTTCTCAAAAACTGCCGCAAATCTTTCTTGAAAAGAGTGCTAAAGTTGCTTGATTGATTGCCTTGCTTGATCATCCTATCAGTCATGGTAACGAATTGAGTATCTCTTTCTTCTTCGGTAGCTGGTTTGACTGTTTGTGATCGAACAAAACAAGAGCAAGATATATCGTAGTAAAGTAGAGCTATAGACTGCATGATTGGATTGTAGGAGAAAGAAAAGAAGGATTCGGGACAAGACAGAGATGCAAGCTTGTCTGCTATTGGATGTTCTAGTTTAGCTCGTGGATTGGTCTTCATTGCACACCATCCGGCTGGTAAGAAGTTGAGATTGTTCCGCTAGTGTTGCTTGGTCAACAATTTGGAGAGTTTGCTTTTCTTTCATATTTATAAGAGCAGTCTGTTTGATCAAATCAGGGATCAGACCGCTCCTAGTGCTCGAACTAGTCATTAATGGTCGGCTTCATTGGTATCCTTTCGGTATGCGTTGCGAACACTTTCATTTTTAGCGTCTCATCTTCTCTAGAGAAGCGAAACTCGAACGGATAGAGCAGATGGTCCAACTACATAACTTTTTATTTTTCATTACTTCTATGGTCGTGCCTCGTGGCACGGCAGCACCCTTACTATTGAAATGGTTCGTCAGTAGAGATGTTCCCACTGGTGCCCCTTTTTCCAATGGGACTATAATTCCTATTCTTATCCCTTCATTCCCTCTTTTGGTCTATCTACATTCCAGGAAATTCATACGCTCCATGGACGGAGCAAAAAGTGGAGTCTTGGTCAGAGCAAGCCGCCCTATTCTATTACCAGACATAATTGGGAGAAGCTCATCCGAAACTAGAGCTGGAAACGCCTCATTTCGTTTCGTTCCCGTTCTTCATTTCCTTCTTCTCGAATCCAAGGGGGACTTCTCATATTTAGAATCTTTCTGCGGTGTGCTCTGTTTACTATTCTTTCGTACTCTCTTCTCTTTACCACGCGATAGGTCAGCAAAGCGTGAGCGGGCGCGGAGAAGGAAACGCCAAACACTTCGGCCTAAGCCTAACGGGAATGAGCAACAACGAAATGACAAGATGGGGTGCTCCGGGCACCCCAATTTAGAAAGAAGGGTCGAAGGTTTTGGGCCTGTAGCTTTCCCCGTCCCCCCTTCGTCGGGTGGTGCTTGTGTGGGGGGTGTGCCACCTGAACCTGAAATCGGGCTTGAAGCTCTCGCCTTACCAACGAGCCGACAGCTGATGGCTGTTGGTCACGACTACCACCAAAAAGCTCCAATGAAGATTAATATTTCACATTTTGGAGTGTGCATCTGTATGTTGGGTGTTCTTCTGTCATGCGACCCGGCGGCTTATGTGCGACCTGTGGCCCACGCCTCCTATTTGTTTGTTCAGGGCGGGCGGCGTGAACTCTGACTCGATCCGGGTATTCAATCCCACCGCTGAGATGCTCAGTTGACTCCTTAACCTTGATAGGAAGATGGCTTATTCAATAATTCGTGCATAAGGGTAAGGAACTTTGGATGAACTAATGCGAATGGGTGTAAGCCTCGCTGCTCGGAAACACCCAGTGCTGACCACACTGAGAGACACGAAAGTGCAGGTAACGCCAGTTGGCAAAGTGGCGTTAAGCATCCCTAGCGATACGAAAAGAGAGGTCGTGATGATATCATCTACGTCCGTACCGCTCCTCGTGGAGTAGATCCCGCATCCAACCAAGTCTTTGACCGAGGAACGGGAGAATTCCCACTACCGCTGGAAGGCCAGCCGGGCCGTGAGCGCGGTGGGAACGGGCTTCCCAAAAGCCAGCCCGGGCCGGGGTCGACATAGAATGAAGGGGACGACCCTAATGTTGTTGTGTTGGCAAAGCCAACTTCTTGGGTTGCGGGCGGAGAAGAGCGGATGTGGGGACTCAGACCGGGGCGCAGCGTAACTAAGAGAGCCATTCCATTCCATTTAGGGCGAGACAGAAGACAGGACACACTCTTGACGTAGATAGAAGGCATTTCTCTACTCTAGAAAAAAAAGTCTATCTCTATCGAAAGAGTGAACCGCTAACTCGTGTGGTAAATGGAGTAGGAGAGCCTTCCTAGGATCTGTTTTCATTGTGGCAATTGGGGCCTGGTAGACTATTGCGAACCTTGTTCGTCAGTATGAGCTTATGCTTAAACCTGCAGGACATGAAAGAGCAACCTGGACAGTCTATTCTCAACTTATATTCTTGGTTGTCCTATGTATGTATGTTTTTTGGAGATTATTCTCGCTCATGCTAAGAAGTTTCTTGACTCTCGCTCTCACCGATGATTTTGAGCCTGCTCGAGCCTATTTACTTTACTCCATCGCAGCCCCTTGCCTACACTCGTATAGTGTCTGTTGCAGAACTAATCTCTTCAGAGACTTAACTTGGAACTATGAAATGACAATGAACTTCATTAGTGAGGGCTACTTCTTCTATTATACCTTATTCATTCTTTCCGGCTCATCGAATTCCTGTTATCGAAAGAAGCCCGGGAATGTAATTCGAGACTGTCTCACTCAGCCTCCTTGCAAGAACACACCTAAAGGTAGTCAAACCCAGTCTCAACCTCAAACTCATTCCAAGGTTGCTGCTACTAATGAGGATTCTTCTTCTTCCGAGCCTTAGTTAAAAGCCCTTCTCGTCATAAGTCGCTCCTTCTCTAAGACATTTTGCATTTGTCCATCTCTAGCCTTTGAAAGCTGACCTAATCCTCTTGTCAAGCCGGGCCAGGCTAGCTCTCTTATTCTGGATTGGCCATTATTAGATTAGAATACCGGTACAAGCCGTTAGGAGAGGCAGATCGATAAAAGTCTCTTGCTATAAAGTCACCGCTACCTTATTCAGCCTATCCCAGCAGTGCTCGAATGGGAGTCTAGGCTAGCCAATGCATCAAACTTTTGACTCGAAAGAACTACTTTTCTAGCTAGATCGGACTAATTGTTTTTATTACCATAATGATAGCACTCAGCGGTTTGGGAACTCTGCCTATCTCAATCCCGGGATGAGAGAAGTTCAACAGGCAAGGCCGACTTTGCTTCATATGTAGCGGATCGATATTCTGCTATTCTCTCTCGCTTGATACCGGACATAGAACCCTATCTCGATCAACCCAACTGTCTAACCTTTCTTTCACATCACAGTTATCCACTCTCCTTTCTTTTTTTTTTGTTTTTGAAAGTCAATCTTTTTTCGACGCTGGGCTTTAGTCATCCTAGTTCTACACAGGAAGGGAAGAGAATGACCAACTTCCATTGTCAATCCCCAAACGAAACGTCTTGAAGCATCTGGTATTGGTTCATCTACCTTGATCTCGCCTTCCGAGTGACATGGAAGACTGCCCCTTTCAAACTTCTTAGCTCGGAAAGATTGGAAGATGAAAGCTATCTCATTCAACATCGGACTTGTTGCTGTATTGATTCCCACTTGTTGAAGCTCTATCCGGTACTCCCTTGCGCTAGAAGCTCTTGCTAGATTATCCGACATTGACTCGCTATAAGAAGATTGTCCGAATAGCATAATTATTATATATGTGAAAATAGTGATTGATAAGGGCTATCGGATAGCAATGAGTGGACTGGCAACCTGTACTTCTTTCTTTGACAAGCATTGCTGGTCCTAGGTCCGGTTGGGTAAAAAAGTTGGGGCATAGCTTCTATTGTCGGCTTGTCTCGCCTTGTCTCACTTATAATTGAGGACTTTTGCAGCGATATGTCGATCAAAAAGTCACTCCATTTTGACATGCCTATCTTTGAAAAACGAGTGGAGAGCTTTTCCCCTATACGTGAGATAGACTATCCCGATTAGATTAGGAATTTCCGTAACCGGTAGATTGGATTTCCGGTGGAAGTCAACAAGGACAGATTCTCGTTGGCTAATCGAATGGAAATCCCATCTCATTTCCGATTTGATTGCCTAGACTGAGCAAGCAATATCTTTGCTTGTCTCCTAGTGGAATTAGCAGACTCCGACATGAACTCGAAACTCGATTGCTGTTTGAAAGAGTTGACATAGATTGTTATGCTAATCCGTTCTCCGATCAAGACCAAAAAAAGGAATTGAGATCGATCTGTCAATAGCATCAATGAGAGAAGAAAGGACACTCTCCATCATGCAATGAGAGAAGAGAGATGTACTGAAAGCATGATCTCTCTTACTTCTCCAATAGAGAAGGATAACCAAATCCTTCTCTATTGTTTCACCGTAGATAGCATCCAAAACTCGGAAATGTAACAAAAGTCGGATGCGGAACACATGCAAGATTGCACTAGTCACGAGAGAGAAGACAACCAATCCAATAGAGCAAGCAACCAGCCACAGCAAGGAAAGCAAAGAGAGAAGCTAGTCACGGGTAAACATGCACCGTCTCTAAGCTCGATTGACTGGCCTAGTTTCACTCGGAGATAGAGACCAGCTACCGAGCCGGTCGGATGCTTGCCTGGCCTTGTCTAACTCCCAGCTTCACAAGCAAGCCAGGCAGATCACCTTGTTCAAGGATTTCGGAGCGAGTACTTCCAACAAAACGTCCGCCTAGACAGAGCTTCCAACCACTTGGACCCGATGATACACCTGCATGCAGGTCATCCTCTCGTGAATCGGCAAGACAGGGAGAGAAAGACAAGCCGAACTCACAAGAGAAAGACAGCCAATGCGATCGATCGAGAGAGTTGGGAATTCTACTAACTGAATTCGGAAGACTTGCTAGTCTAAGAGAGATTGGACTCATGCTTCCGGAATCTCAGTAGTATACCAGGAATGCCCTATTGAGCGTCATGCCCGAACTCATGTTCCGAGAGTGCCTGTCGGATCACTTATGCCTATGCAAGGAGAGAGCACCGCTAAGGGAAAGTTCAATCATTGGGAAGGTCAAACACAAGAAACCTGAACTGCCTGAAACGTAACTAGCTTGTGGTCTTCTTTCCTCAACCAGTGACAGGCCTCACTATCTACTGGATTTGGTCTACCGGGCAGCTAGATCGGACTGGTAGCATGCTGAGAGTCCTATGAGGAAGGTCTTCCAAGAGAATGGTTGTACCGATTCGAGATGTGATAGCGGGTCAATCAAGAAAGGTGCCAGTTCTATTCTACGAGCTGCTTCCAAAGGTGAGAAAGCCTGTTTCTCTGAGCTAAGACACATGCCCGGAAAAGAAAAGAATCTGGGGTCTATGATGTCGAACCGACATCCCTGTTTGGAATGGGATTTTCTTGAAAGGGACCGGCTAACCACTCGCTCTCTCAGTCGAGCAAACCTTTCGCTTTCCTTTGACTTGCGGATACTTCCTTGCGAATAAATAAGGACGGACTATAGTGCTACTGCTAGAGGGGACTCTGCTAGGCTTGCTAATTCGATCCTTGTCCGCTACGATAGCTGCTGGGTCTCCCCATCTCTCCTAAACTTCCCCCGGTCTTCGGCCCGAGCTGTATGAGGCAGAAACTCGCCCCACGTACGGTTCGGAGTCCGAGCCCCACCCCATAATGGTGCGGCTTAGGTCAACTAACACAAAGAAGATACAGTTCACTCAATGATTGCCTTTGGCTTCCGAACTCCATATGGGGAAGGAGCGTTGTTGTTTCCGAGGTCTCGATCATTTACATGGACCCACTTCTCATTCCATTTGTGGGAATTTGATGATCTATAAACCGCCCCTAACGAATGATCGCCTCATGTTTGAGCATGATGAATCACTTCGTGTCGACCTGTTGCCAATAAACTTTCTGGCCTCATATGAGAATGGAAAACTGGATAATTTTCTGCATCGGTGGATGAAAAATCGCGAACATAATAATTTTTTGTTGATCATGTTCCCAGAAAAAAGATACTTTAGAGAAACAACAAGCACGACTGAAGTGGCTATACATACAAATCCATTAACGGATAGATATGCTTCGATTGGAACTTCCAGTTCCAGAACAGGCGGCTGGTATACCACCATAATGAAACTGCCTTTTCTTTTTTTTATTCGGATAGGATTTATGTTGGCTTCGTCGGGAGGCTCGCGTAGTTTGTTACGTCAACTCCAAAAGGATAAGTTGCTCAAGGATGTGTAAAAACTTATGTTCAATGTATGTTTAAAAAGTTCAAGCCAAACTATTTTTATAGAAGATTTTCAAAACTGCTATTTTAATTAATCTGTTAAAAGTTTGTTTTAATCTGTTAAAAGTGCAGTTTTAATCCATTAAAACTTCTTTTAATCCATTAATACGTTCTTGATTCTTTAACAGATTTGTTTTAACTGATACAACAACGTTTATATCAGCTAAAACACTTTACAGAAAATCTTCTAAGTTTATTTAATCGATTGTTTCACGATTCAATCGATTTAAATACTGTAAAACTTTCTTGTAAAACTTTTCAAGTTATTTTAACTGATAAAAATAGGTTTTAAACGATTAAAACTCTGTACATAATTTTTCCAAGTTGTTTTAATCGGTTAAAACGTGTTTTAATCGATTGAAACAGTTCTGATCGGTCATAACTCAATTCTGATCGATCATAACTGATTCTGATCGGTCATAATTGCATTCTGATCGATCATCCTGAACCTTTAAGTGATTTTAATCGATTGAAACGTGTTTTAATCGATTGAAAAATTCTGATCGCTCATAATTTAAATCTGATCGATCACATCTGATTCTGATCGGTCATATTTGTATTCTGATCGATCATAATGAGTTCTAAATGGATTTAATCGATTAAAATCAAGTTGTATCGATTAAAATACTGTAAAAACACTTCTTTGAACATTCTAAATGATTTTAATCGGTTCTTTCAAAACTATATCAGTTAAAAACATGTTTGAGAAAGCTTTTGTCAAAATACTTTGTTTTTTATTGTTTAAAATGATTTTAGAGGCATTTTGCAAAGTCATTTAAGTGAAGAAACCTCATGCAGCAGAAAAGATAAAATGATTTTACATAAGCATTCTGTAGACACACTAATCCTTCTACTTTTTTACCTAAGTGACTTGTTGACCGCTGCAAAGTTGACTTTTGACTTCATCTTTGACTTCATCAAATCAATGAGATCTTTGCCAAAGTATTTCAATAAGATCTTCATCACTTTCATTTTAATTCATCAAAAAATCTTCCCCTGTTTCATTAATAATCATAAAAAATTATTATAAGAGAAAAAAAATCTCCCCTTGTTTCACACAGATTAATATCATCAAAATATCTCCATGTTTCATTGATAATTATGAAAAATATTGCAATAGAAATTGAACACAAATTTGCACAGATTAGTACATAAATCAAGGCAGAGAAGATAATGCATTACAAAGTGACATAGAGAAGAACATCATATTAAGGAGGCAATATCTAGGATACCTAAGGCCCATCTTAGCTCATAAAACCTATCTCTAGGTAATGGTTTGGTGAAGATATCAACTAACTAATGGGTGGTATCTATGTATTCTATTATACAATCTCTTTTTTGAATATGATCTTTAATAAAATGATGTTTGAATTTTATATGCTTAGTCTTAGAATGCATGATAGGGTTCCTAGTAAGATTTATTGCACTAGTACTATCTCATTTTAAAGGAATATGATCTAGGAAAATGTTGTAATCTTCTAACTACTGCCTCATCCACAGAACTTGGGCACAACAACTACCTGGAGCTATATACTCAGCTTCAGTTGTTGATAAAGCAACACAAACCTGTTTCTTAGAATGCCAAGAAACAAGTGAACAACCAAGTAGATGACATGTCCCACTTACACTTTTCCTGTCTAGTTTACATCCTCCATAATCTGAATCTGAATATCCTATAATGCTAGGTGAAGCTCTTGAGGGATACTAAAGGCCAAATGATCTAGTTCCTTTTAAGTATTTAAAAATTCTCTTAACAACAACTAAATGTGACTCCTTAGGATTAGCCTAAAATCTAACACAGACACACATAATATGCATAATATTAGGTCTATTTGCTGTAAGATAAAGTAGGGAACCGATCATACATCTATATTTGATTGGTCAACCACCTTACCTTTTTCGTCTTAATCTAGATAGCAAGATGTTGCCACTGGAGTAGTTGCTTCCTTTGAATGTTCTAATTTAAATTTCTTGATTAATTTAATGCAGTACTTTGATTGTGAAATGAAGATGTCATTGGCCTTCTGTTTGATTTGCAGTCCAAAAAATTTCTTAGACGTTCATACCATGACCTAGGTGCTTATTTGAGTGCAAAGCTTTCTTCAATTTATAAACATGATCTGGATATTGAAAATCTTCAAATCCAAGAGGTTGACACACATACACCTACTCTTTGATATATCCATTTAAGAAGGCACTTTTCACATCTATTTGATATAATTTGAATTTCATGGTAGATGCATAGGCTTGTAGAATACAAATAACTTCCAATCTTGCTATTGGTGCATATATCTCATCATAATTAATTCCTTCTTCTTGACTATATCATTTTGCACCAATCTTGCCTTATTCTTTGTAATATTTCCCTTCTCATCTAGCTTGTTCCTGTACACCCATTTAGCTCTAATAACCTGCATTGATTTCTTGTCCTTGATAATCACCTGCAATATCAACATACAAATCTAGGTACCCTTTTATCATCTTTGGATCCTTAAAACGTCAGTAGAATCACAAGTCTCTGCCAAAAGACTAAGGATAAAAGAATAGAACCATGACGTAATTAATTTTTTTTTCAAACTTTCAAAAGTTTTTTGTCATAATCGATTATCATAGCACCTTCAGAATCAACATAATCGATCATGACAACAAGAAATTTCACTCTATAAGACAATATAATCGATTATCACAACACATATAAAAATAACATAATCGATTATGACAGCAAGGAATTGTACTCTGGAAGACAACATAATTGATTATCACAACACATACAGAAATAATTGATTATCACAACAAGAAAATTCATCAGTATCACATTTGACCCATCATAATCGATTATGGTGATGTCATAATCAATTATAACAGCAAGAAATTTTTTTCCGAAAATTCATAATTTATTAAATGCTCAAACTATCATCTAGACATGTATAAATTCTTTGTTCCTTTAGGCACCCATTCATATTTGTCATTAGATATGCCAAAATATTTTTGTAACATCTATTTGATGTATGGCCTAATTTCATGCAATAAAAACATGTTGGTTTTCTTTGAAGAGGTCTAAATGAGTTTCTTAAAGTTCATAAAATTGGCTTTTCATCTATTTTCCTTGACTCTTTCACAAAAATAGTTTATGAGGTTCTAGACTTTTCTGGGGTTTGTAACCAAGTCCAGCTTTACTAGAATCCACTCTTTGATAACCTAACATAGAATCAAGATTTTCAGAAGATTTTGAAAACTTGTTCATTATTTTCTCTAACTTGAAAATCTCATTTTCCAAGTGATTACAATTTTCACAACGATGAACTACTTCTTTATCTATAGCCAAAGTTTTAAATTTCTCAACATCTTTCTTTAAGCACTCATTTTATTTTTCAAGAATACCAACTTTATTTTCTAATGCTTGAAACTTTTGCTTAAATGCAATATGTTTCTTAGCTAGTCTTTCAAGATGTTCAAACATTTCTTGATAGGCTTCAAGCAACTCATCATATGTACTATTTAAGGATTTTGTGCTACTTACTTGTGATGAGGCTTCATCATCACTCTTTGTCATCAAGCAAATATTTACTTCTTCTTCTCCATCACTGCTTTTGGAAGAACTCTCTTGTGTTGTGGAAGAATCATTATCCTCCTAAGCGATGTAAGCTTTGCGTTGTTAGAATCGTGCAGCGAAATGTTCACGTGGTCGGACAAAAACCAAGAGGGGGGGTGAATTGGTTTCTTAATAAAAATTAGGTTTTCAAAATTTTCCCCAAATTTTACTGATTAAAATACTGTGTAAACGTAAATAGAATAGAGATAGAGTATTACACAGGAGATTTATACTGGTTCGGATCAAAAGACCCTACGTCCAGTTGTTAATCACTCCAACAGAAGATTAACGCTGTCACTATAATCAAAGTTGTTACAAATAGATAACAATTGAAAATACAAAGTAAAGAAAACACCTCTCTTGAAACCCACAAGAGATGAAGAACAGTTTTCCCCAGAGACGGCACAACACACAATCCACTAAGAACTCCACTTAGTGATTCTTATCGCTTCTAGCCCACACCAGGTTCCAAAAGCCCCTTTTTCCTCCAACAAACAGTTCTCTGGCACTCACAGCACTTAACTTTTGTTTGAAAAAGGTTGTTCTATTTTCTGAGAGCCTTAGAGAACCTTAAGTAGAGAAATTAGGGTTTGGGAATTGGGATT